TCTACTTTAAAATTATTTTCTATTTCTAAGTGAAAATTCCTTATATGGTCCTTTATTGAGACTATTATTTAATTTTAAAACGTATTTTCTTTCATTGTTTTCTAAATTCAAAAGTTGGTTCTGACTCAAAAGTTTGTATTTTCTGGGTCACATTTTCTTGTCCAGTGTTGTTGGTGGCGTTGGTGTTGAAAATTGGATATGATAGATAATTCATTGCGGTGACTCTGGACTGAATTTTGTTATTTTGAGGATTACCTACTTTTTTCTTCAGGAAGGTAATTATCTTGCTTGAAATAAAACTTTGAAATCCATCTTGCTTACAAGGTATTGACCTGTTCATATTCCTTTCTTCTTAATGTTTGGGTTTATGTTTTGTTTTTTAAATTGTGATTTTAGTGAAAGTTTACAGAAAAGATGGTTTTTCACTCACTCATTGATACACACACTTTCTTCCCATTCCTTCTCCCAATTTACTGTGTAATGAAAGACTCATTCTAGATTATTAATTGTCATACAGATGTCTAATCATCTATTCCTTTTAAATAGTCCTTTTCTTCCCCATTTCAGTTCATTATCTATCCTTTCTTTTCCTGTTCTCCAGGTACCCAAAATATCTCCCTGTGCCTCCATAATATGATAGACAAGGATTTGAGTAGAGACAATGTTAACTCTTGGAATTCCTTGCTCTTAGTGATGAACCTGTAATTTGCAGTTGCTTTGCCAGTTTTGGGCTCTTCTGATAACTTCTGTCTTCTGATACTTTAAACCCGACAACATAGAGAGAGCTACGTTGGTCTAGTGGACAAGAAAGTTATGCTACCAAGCCCAAGGTAGATTTTAATCTGCAGCCCTCAGGCCAGGTTCAAATTGTTTTCCTGTCAAACATTCTTCTAGGTGGTATAGTACTGGTCTATGATTGCTGTACAGAGGTAACTCGTGGTTGCTGTGATGCTGAACACTGGGACACTGATGTGCCAAAAGTGATAATGGTTAACATGGTGGACAGTGTTTGTTGGAGCTTCCCAATTAAAACAAGCCCGGAAGCAGGAGGGGTATCCACTTCCAAAACGGCTTGCCTCTGGAAACTCTATGAAAAGTGCTCAAGCCTTTCATTCCTAGGGTCGCTATGAGTCTTCTATGACTCAACGGCACCTAACAACAACAACAACAGTCTAAATCACTGATCCTGGGTATTTTACACCCATACAAAGCTACCATTTCTGCTGCTAGTTTCCAAAATCATAGCTAGGATTTGGGGGAACCTTCAGCTTAGAAAACATCAAACCCACAGCTTCTGTTTCTGAACACACACAACATTTTTTTTTTTTAAAAATTCTATTTTGAAAAGGATTCATGTAGTCTTTTCAGAAGTCTACAACTCAAAATACATCATTAAAATATTACAGATGAGGCTTAGAAAAATTATAGAGCTAGTAAGTTTCAAAGCTAAAATCTTTAACAACTAAAGCTCAAGCCAAAAACACTGTTAGCAAGTCACACTGACCTTCCATTGGATTTCTAATGCTGTAAATCTTTTACAGGAGGAGGTCCATCTTTCTTTAAAGGAAGAGCTAGTGAATTTGCACTACCAATTTTTTTAGTAAGCAGATTATTATGTAATAATAACTGTAATGACTAAATTTAAAAAGAAAAGGAAACCAACCTCACTCCTTTTGAGTTCGTTCATTCAGTGTCAAAGTCTGTAAATAAATCTTTCCTGGAGGAGACCATCCATCATTCCCCCATAGAGCAGCTTGTGGAAATACATCACAAACTACACTTCCATTACTCCTTTCTTGAATAACTGTAGTTACATATGGTCCAGTTAGAACTGAGACACTGCTGCCCCTCCAGTAAGTTTTAAGGAGCAGCAAATTGCAAAGAAGGAAACGGCCCATTTTTCTCCCACAGAGAAGCTAGTGGATTCAAACTGCATTGCATTTGGGTTGCCAGCACAACTCCTTACTACAAAGCCATCAGAGTTCCCATCTTTATTAACTGTTCCTATGTGTCATTAAGTCAACAGTGACTTATAGCACCCCTATGTACCATATGAGCCACACAATAAAATGCCTTGGCATAAGCAATAAAGCACAAATAGACATTCTTTTGGTATTTTTTTACTTTTAGCCAGGATACATCTAACATCAGCAATGATATCCCTGGAGCCATGGCCTCTTCTAAATCCTGCTTGAACTTCTAGAAGTTCCTTATTTATTTATTTGTTTGTTTGTTTCAGCCATTTTTTTAATGACCTTCAGCAGTATTTTGCTTGCATGTAATTATCAATGATATCGTTTGATAGTTTCCACATTCAGTTGGATCATCTTTCTTAGGTATGGGAAAAATTATAGACCTCTTCCAATCCATTGGCCAGACAGCTGTCTTCTAAATTTCCTAGCATAGAATGGTGAGTGGATCCAAGACTACATCTGTTACTTGAAACAATATAATTAGTATCACATCGATTCCTGGGGCCTTATTTTATGCCAATGCCTTCAATGCAGCTTCTACTTCCTCTTTCATTACCACAAGGCTCCAGTTCATATGGTATTTCCGGAAATTTTTCAGTGTCTATCAATTCTTTCTGGTACAGTGACTCTGTGTATTCCCTCCATCTTCCTTTGATGCTTTTCATCTTCTTTTGATGCCCATAGCATCTTTCAATATTGTGACATGAGGCTTAAATTTTTCAGTTCTTTCAGACTGAGAAATGCAGAATAAGTTCTTCCCTCTTTATTTTCCAATTCCAGCTCTCTGCACATTCCATTATAATACTTTGCTTTGTCTTCCTGAGATGCCCTGTGAAATATTCTGTTCAGTTCTTTCACTTTGACATGTTTTCCTTTAGTTTGGCTTCTCAACACTCCAGTGGAGTCTTGAGTCTATTCCGACATCCATTTTTATTTTTTTCTTTGATACTGAAAAGAATGGGAATCCCAGAGTACTTAATGGTGCTCATGTAAAACCTATACTTGGGACGAGGTGGCTGCTCTGCAAACACAGCAGAACACTGCATGGTTTAAAATTAAGAAGGGAGTGTGTTAGGGTTATTTTCTCTCTCCACATCTATTTAATCTGTATGCTGAGCAAATTATCTGTGAGGCTGTACTTTAGGAAGAGGAATGTAGCATCAAGACTGGAGGGAGACTCATCAATAAATTTCATTATGCAGATGACACAATCTTTTTTGCTGAAAGTGAGGAAGACTTGAAGCACTTGGTTGCAGATGACCAAAGAATGTAGCCTTCGGCATGGATTGCACCTTAATGTCAAGAAAATAAAGATTCTTACCAGTGGACCAATAGGCAGAATTATGATGGATGGAGAGGAGCTTGAAACTGTCAACAACTTCATCTTACATGGATCCACAATTAACACCTTTGATACCAGTAGTCCAAAAATAAGGAGACACATTGCACTGTGAAAATCTACAGTTAGGGACCTCTCCAAATTATTGAAGAGTAAAGGTGATAGTTTGAGTAGTAAGGTGCATCTGATTCAGGTCATAGTCTTTCTGATCACTTGCTATATGAGAGCTGATGAATGAAGATGACAGAAAAAGAATTGATGCCTTTGAGCTGTGGTGTTGGAGAAGAGCACTGAACATTCAAGAGAACAAACAGATATGTCTTCGAGAGGATGCCACTTGAGTGTTCCTTTGCCTTACAAACTTTGGGCATGTTGTTAGGAAGGGCTATTTCTTGGAGAAGGATATGATGTTACGAAGGGTGAAGGGCTGGTGAAGGAGAGGAAGATGCTCAACCAGGTAGACTGACACAGTGACCGCTGCAATGGGCCCTTATGTTTCAGGAAGTGTTAGGATGAATCGAGCTGGATAGCACAGGGTTCAGATCTTTTATTCATAGGGTCACTATGAGTTGTACTTGACTCAATGGCACCTAACAACAATAACATACACCATAGCTCTTAAGTCTGATCAATTCTGATCAATCTCTTGTCTCCAGTATACCTACCCTCATAACCCCAGTTTCTGTGTCAATCCATCTCATCCTGGTTCTCTCTTTCCTACATTGTCCTTCTACTCATCCAAGCATGATGTCCCTCTCCAAGGGCCTGTCCCTTCTGGCCACATCCCCAAAATATGGAAGACATAGCTTTAAAATCTTTGCCTCCAAGGAGAAACAATAGTTTCACCCTCTCTAGGTAATACCTGTTTATTCTCTTGGCAGTCCATGGTATGTTCAACACTCTTTTCCAGCACAACAACCCAAAGTCATCAATTCTTCTTCAGTTATCTTTAGTCACTGACCAGCTTTCTGGTTCACAGCAAGTAATTTCAAATACCATGGCCTGGATCAAGTACACTTTAGTCTCTAGATTGACACTGTTGCTCATCAGCATTCTAGAAAGGTCCCTGCCAGCAGATTTTCCCAATGTGTAATTCACCTTTTCATTTCCTGACTGCTGATGCTAAGGTTGTTGATTGGGGACCTGAGTAAGCTGAAATTGTTAGCAATCTGAACCTCTTCTCCATCTATCATGTTGCTGCCAATTGTCCTCTTTGTTTTCTTGATGTTCAGTTTCAATCCATATTGAAGACTGCAATCCTTGACCTTCTGCAGCAAACACGTCAGTCCAATTCCGTTTCAGTGAGCTAGAAAGTATCATTTGCATAACACAGGTTGTTAATGAGTCTTCTTTCCTCTCACTTGATCTCTTCTTGATACTTTCCTAACCTTTTCTTTCATCCAAATGTAACTAATTAACCAAAATTTTATCTTGTGTTTTCACTTCAGTCATGATGTCTATGATGTTTTAATGAGTCTAAATAAAGTAAAAGATATTAAAAAGTACTTACTAAATTATTTTCAATATTATAACTTATCTTCTGATTTTATGTTTTACATTTTGGGGGTAATAAAAGGATTAATTAATCTTCTAGCAACATGTTTTAACATTTAATATAGAAAAAGATCAACAAGATAGCATATTAAAAATGAAAAATTTATAAGTCTAGGAAAAATAAAAAGGAATACCTTTTTTTGCATCTGTTCTTGAAGATCTTCAGTCATTTTGGTTAACTCTTCCACTTTTGCAGCTGCAACTCTAAGATCTGACTTGGTTTGCCTAAGGAAAAATACCACAAAACTATTACTTAGAAAGATCATAAGATGAAAAAAATAGAAAAGGGATCTAAATTTGTTAAAATTACTACTAGCAACTATGTACTTTAAAATAGATCTAAATAGATAAATTCTTAAGGATAAATTGACTATGAATTAAATGTATATGAAAGAGAATAAAATAGAAAACTATAGGTAAAAACTAAAGATAAGACTGTAATTTTCAATATGGATTGATGCTCAACATCAAGAAGACAAAGTTCTCATCACTGGGCCAATTGGCAGCACCATACTAGATGGAGAAGAGATTGAAGTTGTTAGCAATTAGCTTGCTCAGATCCACAATCACCACTCTTAACATTGGTAGTCAGGAAAACAAAAGACAAATTGCACTGGGAAAATCTGCTGTCATGGACCTCTCCAGAGTGCTGAAGAGTAACGATGTCAGTCTAGATACAAAGGTGCACCTAATCCAGGCCATGGTTTCCTCAATTACTTGTTATGCTTCAGAGAGTTGGACAATGACTAAGGATGACAGAAGAAGAATAGATACCTTAGAGTAGTGGTGCCAGAGAAGAGTCTTGAACATACCATGGACTGCCAAGAAAACAAACAGGTCTGTCTTGGAGAGGGTGAAACCAAGTTTCTCCTTGGAGGCTAGGATTTTGAAGCTCTGTCTCTCTTACATGTGACCAGGAGGGATCAGTCCCTGGAGAAAGACATCATGCTTGGAAGGGTGGACGGACAGTGCAGGAGAGGGAGACCCAGGATGAGATGGATTGATACAGTAACTGGGGTGATGGGAGTTGGTATGTAGGAGTTAGTGAGAATGGCTCAGGATAAGGAAGGGTTCAGACCCGCTGTACAGAGGGTCGCTATTATTCCACAGAGCAGCTAGTGGATTCAAACCACATGCCTTTCAGTTGGCAGTACAACTCCTTACCACTAAGCCACCAGAGCTCCCCTCTAATATACATACGTGTGTGTGTGTGTGAGTGTGTGAAAGAGAGACTCTCACTCCTGTCCCTCATGGCCACATGTCCATAGCATGTGAGACAGAGTGTCATATATATATATGCATGTTCCAAGGAGGGACCAGTCCTTGGAGAAGGACATCATACTTGGGAGGGGGGAGGGACAGCACAAGAGAGAAGGACCCTCAATGAGATGGATTGATTCAGTGACTGGGGTAATGAGAGTAGGTGTGTCTGAGACAATAAGGTTGGCACAGGATAAAGCAGGTTTCAAAGCTATTGTCCATAGGGTCACTATGAGTCACAAGTGATTCAACGGCATATAATAAGAACAACAACAAATATAATCCATAGAGACTTGTGCTGCTAACCCAAAGACCACACCTCACTCCTTTGGAATTTGACTCCACCAGCTGTTCCACAGGAGAAAAATGGGCAATCCCCTCCATATGAGTTACAGCCTTCAAAAGCTGCTGGAGAGTCTTCTATGAGTTGGTTCCAACTCAATGGAAATGAATGTATACACTGTGTTCATCAACAATTGCCATTGTGGGAGTGGACACTGTCCCCCCAAAGACCACAGTACCACACAAGGAGCAGGAAGCCAGCATGTCTACCTGAGTCTCCCAACCAAATGCCTGGCCAGGAAGAGTAACTTCAGCAAGGTCATTTTTAGAAAAGAGGCTCACTAGTCACCTCCCCAACTTAAATGATCCTGAAAGTGAACAGTGAATCTCAGGCGACTCAATGGCACATAAAAACAATAACACACTAAGATAGGTTTGGAAGCAGGAGTGGCATCCACTTCCTAAATAACATGCCTCCGGAAATTCTATTAACTTTGATAAATGTCGATAATTGTAGAAGGGCTTCAGGCCTTTTGTTCATAGGGTTGCTATGAGTGGTGCTCAACTTGAAGGTAATCAACAACATAGGTAAGTGAGGGTTATGAAGTAGGATTAATACTGCACTTGTATAAATTAGATACTATTATACTAAAATAATTTAATATATTTTATAAAAGAAAAAAACCTTTACCATTTTGATAATTTACCAAACAGGTTGGTATCCTAAGACAGAGTTATTTCAGAAGTGTTCTAAAGTTTACCAAACTGGATGTAAAAAAATTAATGTCAATGAATTCATTTTACTTGGATCCACAATCAACACCCATGGTAAGAGTAGTCAAACAATCAAAAGATGTGTAATACAGAGCAAACTTTACATCAAGGACTTCTCCAAAGTGCTAAAGAGTCAACTTCAAGCCCAAGATGTGCCTGACCCAAGACATGATGTTGGCGAAGAGTACTAAATAAATAAATAAATAGCCCACTGATTGGCAAAATAACAGGCATGTCTTGGATTAAATATAATCGGGGTGCTTCTTAGATGTAAGTATAATTAAACTTTGCTTCATATACTTAGGGCATGTTTTTAGGAGTCTGGTTCTTAGAGAAAGACATTATGACGGCAAAGATAAAGGGTTAGCAATAGAGAGGAATACCCTCAACAAGATGTACTTACACAGCAATTCTAACAATGGGATCTAGCATAATAGAGATTGTGAGGATGGGGTGAGATATAGGAAGGTTCTGACCAGTTCAAAATGTTTCAGTAAGTGTTAGTGGACTGACAGCACTTAAGCACAACCACCACCACCACTTCAGATATACTGAATCAGACCTACATATTTAACAGGAGCTCTTACTTTCCCACATTTCCTGGGGATCTCATTAGAAATAGAAATTCAGATTCTATGCAAGGATCTTAAATGAATAGGTTCAAGAATTGGAATAATGTACTTTTATTATATCATGCTTAAATTGAAGATAGCAATCCTCACAGAGGTTAAGCAAGGATTAATAGTATGTAGTGAAATTATTATTTAAACTGTCCTACACTATTTGTACTGAGCATCTTATGGACTTTCAAAAGAAAAACAAACGTCTTGGAGAAAATGCAACCGTGGTGCTCCTTTGAGGTAAGATTGTGAAACTTCGTCTCACATGCTTTGGACATGCTGTTAGGAAGGGCTAGTTCTTGGACATACTTGGAAAAGTGAAGGGTCAGCAAAAAAATAGGAAGACACTAAAAAGGACAGATTGACAAAGTGACTGAAACAACAGGGTGAAATGTACTAGAGATAATGAGGATGGCACAGAATAGGACAGGGTTCAGATTCGCTGTTCGTGAGTCACTATAGGTCGTCAACAACCACCTCCTAAAAAAATGGTCCCATGAACATTTCATACTATTATTTATAGACATGCTCTGCATTAAACAAATTCCAAAGCCCTCTGCCATCTAGCTGGTTCTGACTGATAATGATCTTCCACTGGTTTTCTGAGGCTGAAAGATGGGGGACTGATCATCTTTCTCTGGAGGAGCAGCTGGTGGATTCGAGCTGCTGGTCTTTCAGTTAGCAGCTCAATATGTTGTACACTAAGCCAGCTGGATCCTGTATACAGTATGCAAAAATGTAACTTTATCAAACATCATATAGCTCTTTTTATTGTAAAAATGGATCACCAAATGACAAAAACTGGAAAAAAAACCCCAAAAATATGAAAAACCAAAAAACCCTAAAAGATGGTCCTTACATTTTCAAATTTCAAATCCAGTTTAAGTTTACGAATAATTCCAGGAGTGCCTCAGCTACATAAATCATGAAAATAATATATCAATTATGAGATTCTACATGTTTTAATGGTAGCTCTGTTGCCATAGTCCATAAAGAATCACATTGCTAATCCAAAGGTTAGCAGTTCACATACAACAGCAGCTCCCAGGAGAAAGGTAATCTCCCATGCAATTTGCACCCTCTGAACGTTCGTTGGAGGCTCATCTTATGAGTCAGTTCTGATTTGATGGCAATGAATTGAATTGCTGAGCTTCTTAAAAGGAAAAATGTTAAGGACTAAGATATTTTTGTATTAATAAAATTGAAAAAATGAAGTAAACACCAGGACTTTGTTTTCATGTCTTCAGAAAGGGATAATAATGTTTGTTCTACTTGTATCAAATGATTTTAAAAAGTAAAAATAATGAGCATTAAAGTAAGTGCACTGTCAACTGTAATATAGGACTACAGCATAATTAACTAAAAGTTATCTTTTACAATCACAGAGGAAGCAAGGTGCAATGTGGTGATTTTGATTATAGAGTTGGGAACTTAGTTCTATCACAAGTCATGTGCCCGTAAAAAAGTTCACTTGACAAGACTGAGTCTCAGCAAATTTAAGTTCAACAAAAGAAATGTGAGTTAATAGTCAAAGACAAAAATTTTCTAAAAGATGCTTCATCATTTTGTCATATTTTCTCCATGATTTTATATCTAAATCATCTCTCAATTGTATATTTCATTTCTACTGTCATGGTTCAACCTTTAGTCCACCATTAATTCCCATGAACATTGCACTTTCATGCTTCTTGTTAGTATAAAGTATACACTCTTTCAGTGGCCTCAAAGAGTTTTATTTCTTGCTAGTCCCCAAGTGGAGCACTGGTCACCTAATGGCAAGATGCTGTGCTGCGATCCCAAGGGCACAGGGTACATATTCATCAGCTGCTCTGCAGAAGGACAGACAATCTCCTCCTGAGCCATTAACTGCCTCTGAAAACTCGCCAGGGGATCAGCTATGGTTCGATTCCAGTTAGATGGTACACACAGCAGTCCTCATGTTATGTAGTGTAATGTGTCTTTCCTAAAATACATTCTGCAATACTTACTAACCCATATACCCATGAATATAATTAAACTTGGGAGTAGAGTTTTCTTATGTGTTAATGAGGTCATGTTAGTGTAGGGTATGTCTTAAGTTAATAATTTCTGAGATAGAAAAGATCTTATTTAGTAAGTACCAAAGAAGCATAGATAGGGGAAGACAGAGAACACTGTACATGAAGATCCCCAAAGAATTGATGAAATAAAGCTGAAGAAACGATTTTCTGTCAGAGTCAACAGAGATAGCATTCTTCTAGAGGTTGTGTTTAATTTTCAGATTTATAGTCTCTTAAACTGTAAGAAAAG